ATCTAAGGTGGCTTACAAGAATTAATACAGCAACTGAAAATAATGACAAAATTAATTAGAAGAAATTCTAAAGTAGAAGTGAAAGGAAGGTGAGACCAAGATAGGACTGGTTCAGCAATTGCCTACCCAGCCTGGTGTTCAGATGTAGCTTCCCACCCAGGGACAGTACATGGATTCACAGTCCTCGCAACCAAAAAAAGAGGCTAGCTCCAGTGCTTCCAGATCCAGGTTGTCTATCAAAGAGGAGTGAATCCAGTATTCAAGAAAGCTTTGTAAGGTAATTGAAGACATGTAACTTGCCTCGTAGTGGTTGAGTAGTGCTGTGTATAATGTCTGAGGGGATAATCCTGCCATAAATGTAGTGGTTAGTTTTATTCAGCTGTTCTGATCATTAAAATTTATGACCTAACAGTTCATCAAAGTTACTTCTGCAAGAGCCAGAGTACTGATGCACTTCACATCTTTCTGCTAGTCCAACTTAACCTGAAAAAAAAATCTTAAAAAAAAAAAAAAAACAGGAGAAATAGGTCAATGTCATAGCCTCTCTAATGAGCACCTATGGGGATTTTCTCACAACTTTAATAAGAATGAATATTTAGGGGATAAGGAGATATTTTCTTGTAAGAATTTGAAAAGCCAATTTTTTTTCATAGACTATTTGGGACAAATATCTAACATATGAGTGTCCCCCAAGTGTGTGTGGGGGGTCATATCCTTATTAAAATGAACTAACTAGCTCAGATATTTCAAAGTATACCCTCTCACCCTTCACCAATAAGTGACTAAGGCGAGTATCTACAGGAAGTTCAAAAGTGTCCTGAAAAAAATCAGTTTTGGTTTGATGTTGACCCACTTACTTATTTCTGCTTTTGTTTCCCATGGAGTAGAGTCCCCAAAGATATCACTGCAACCAATGGGGTGGAGTGGTTTGCCTATGCTTTCTTCTATGTGTGTTATGATTTCAGTTTTTACATCCAAGTCTTTTATTCATTTTGTGTTAAGTTTTGTATATGGTCTGAGATGAGGATCTGGTTTCATTACTTTGCATGTGTCTGTCCATATGTAGAAAAGTATTTTCCCCCCACACAATTTATTAAAGAAACTTTCCTTTCTCTATTTCATTGGTACCTTTGTCAAATTAGCTTTCCATGCAAGTGTGAATTTATTTTAGGGCCCTCAGTTCTCTTCCATTAGTCGGTATGTTTGTTTATATTCCAATACCATGCTGTTTTTATTACTGTATTTTTCCACTATAATTTAAAGTCTAGGAATATGAAGCCTCTCTGTTGTCAGGTTTGCTTTGGCAATTTGAGGGTCTTCCATGTTTCAGAAATAATTGTTCTACTCTAAAGAATTGCACTGAAATTTTCAAAGAATTTGCATTGAAAGTATACATTGCATTTTAATGATGTTAATTCTCCCAATTCATGAACATGAAATATCTTTCATTTCTTAATGTCTTCTATTTAATTAAATACTGTCTTATATTTTCATTGAATAGGTTTATCACCTCCTTTGTTAAATCATCTCCAAGGTACTTAATTCTTTATGATGCATTGTTTTCTTGCTTTTTGATTTCTTTTGATTGTTTTCTTAATTTCTTCCTCCTCTGGTGCACAATTAGCAGCATAAATGCAACAGATTTTTGAACATTGATTTTGTAGCCTACCATTTAAAAAGTTTCTGTGCAATGAAAGAAACTATCCCCCAAACCCCAAAATTAGATGTTTGCACATCATAGATCATAGAGGATAGGGACCTCATACAACTCAATGAGAAAAATTTTTTGAATGGAGGTAAACTTAAATAAATGTTTCTCTACAGAAGATAAACAGGTGACCAATCAGAGCTTTGTTAAGGAGTCTGCTTGAGGCCAGGGACTTGGCCTGATTTTTTTTACCTATTTCTAAAGTCTCTTGGAATAGCCCCAAGCTTAGGAGGAGGGAAAGCAAACTTTTTTGGATAGGTATTAACATTGTATCACAGCAGCTGGAAGTTGGCACAGTGCCCAGGAAGGTTGGGAAAGTGATTTATTTTTCCAACTTCACCACAGGAACCCAAGCCCTGGCAGATGCCTGCTGGAGTCTGCAGCAGCTGATCAGAGTGAGATCATTATTAATTATTAGTCACTTTTGAGTGTCTTTCTCAGAAACTGCAGAGTACTTGGGAAGCCCAGACCCTTTTGATTTGCAATCGATACTGTGTATACCTTGCTCAGGGACCTGAGTGGCAGGTAATAATAAAACAGTATTGATTCCTGGCAAATGGGTTCAAGATGTATAAATCCATCTCTCTCTCTCTTTCTTACACACACACACACACACACACACACACACACAAACTCAACTAAATCTTCAAAAGCCTTGATTATTTTTATTTTTATTTTTTTACTCAAAAATGAGACCAGTGGTGGGAGTTAAATATTTGAAGTGTTAGCTAAATTAGGGCTATCTCCTGCCAGGAGCCAGATCTGTACACATAATTATTTTATTCTCTGTGCTGGCATCGATTCACTTGGATCGAGTGTCGAAAATATCTGTTTTGGGTCTGTAGTCCAAATTATTCAGTCAGGTCCTTGATGATGTTTTCTACTTGCATCTTCCTGTGTTTCTTTCTGTAAAACAGACCCCCACTTGTCTGGAACTTGTTTCATCCCTCAGTTTCAACGTACCCCCGGCTCCCTTTCCTAAATCTGCTTTTCTTCCTTTGCCTCACACCATCTGTCATCTTCCTTGGCCAGGAACCTCACTCACCCTCACAAATTCCTCAGACACCAAAGCTGCTTATTTAATTTTGACCTAATTCTAATTTCTGCTTCTATGTTGGCATCTACACCAGTGCATTAGAATGATTGGAAACCTGGATAGTTTTTAGTCTTTCTTCTCTTTGGCTGTGTCTCCTTCCTCAGTGGCATTTATGAACAGAGACTCCCCAAACTGCCTTGGAAGATCTTGTTTATATTCTATCATATCATGCATAGTTTCATTGAATGGCCTCCTCGAACATTTTCAATTTCTGTCTTTCCACCCATGGCTGTTAGCAGACCTCTTGAAAATGCAAGTCTGTTCTTGCCATTCATCTGCAGAAAATCCTCCAGTGATTCCCCATCATCTAATCTAAGATGCAGAAACAGCAATCTCAGATGTACACATAAATGTTGATCTGAAAATGATAGTTGTTACAGGTCAAAACATGTCATTCCAAACCTTGACATTTATTGGAAGACAGTAGGTCCTGGAGATGGCAGGAGGGAGACACATCAGGAAGACATTCTCATTCATGGGCTTCTTTGGAGGTGTGAATATTTGTGGGTGGGTGCATCAGAGTGGAGCCAGTGAGTTTTTGTTCTAGAAAGCATTTCTCCTGCTTGTACAGGGCTAGCCTGTCAGTGTAGACACCAGTACTCTAGTTTGAGTACTTGTTTTCTCAGTCAGACAATAAGCTGTGACTGAGAAAGTTACATGAATGCACCTTTGATCTATACCCTCCAAACCTCATATTTAGTAAAGAAGAAATCCTGTTGCTGGAGCAGACCCCATAACAAGGGCCGTAGCACTTCTCAAAGGGCCACTGCTGGTGTGTGGCACAGGAAACACTGTGATACATGACTGTCCTGCACATTGAGGATGTTTGGCACCTCCGGCCCATCCTACTGAATTCGTCATATCTCTCAGGCATTAGGAATCCCAAAAAAACTCCCGCATGTCCCTATACATTCCAAATGATCCAGAAACAGAAATATCAGTTCCTGTAACTACTCTTAAGATATTCTCCCCTTGCTGAAAGTATAACGAGGAGTTGGAATGATTGTGATGGTGTCAATCACTCCTGGTTTCTCTTCATTTTCTATAATGACTGAGCTCAGACTGTGGAGCCACCTTGTCTAGCTTTGAAAGCAAGCTTCCCCACCTGGCCCTGACCCTGAACATGAGTGTGACCTTGAACAATCTCATCTCTCTGTGCCTCCATTCTCTCATATAAAGTGGAGATGATGGTAATGTCTACATCAGAAGATTTTTGTGAATATTAACAAAATTACTACAAGATTACTATGCATGGAGGTGTGAGTTACATTGGCCCTTGATCAACCCATTTGAACTGGCAAATTCAAACCCATTTATCTGTGCATGGTTCCTGTCCCTGGATTCTACATTCACCATCAACCTACCTGGATACCAGAAGTCAGCTAATTGCAGTCTCCGAGGAAGACCCCATGTATATGAAAAGCTGACTATAAGTTATGCATGTGTATTCATTTGTATAGAGGATTGGCTCCCCAAAACCCTTTTCCTCAAGAGTTGACATTATATGCTATAATGATGATGGTTCCTAAGTTAAAGGGTCTTACTTGAATAATAAATTGAAATTGACTCCAAAAAGGGAATATTGTGAAAAACTACAGAAACCAACATGGGGTATCTGTGAAAAAGGTAGTGGACTGGGTAGGAGTCAGCTAGTTCTTTCTCTTCTACCATCAGCCATGATTTGCTGTATGGCCTTGAATATATTTCATTTCTCTTGAGATTTTTTTTGTTTGTCTATGAGGGTTTTACTCTATATGGTGCCCCCAAATTTGAATGACATGAGCATTGTGAATGTGCTTTAAAACACAGTTTGATGATATGCAATACAATAAGTAACCTTACCATACATTGGTTTTTCCTGATTGATTTGAAAACCACCAGAAGCTAGTTGAGAGGGCGGGTTTAATATGAACTTCTTGGGAGACTATAAACTTGGAAAGGGTGTTTACAGAGTAAATAGTAGGGTGTTCCATATAACACTGAATTGCTCTCTGCCTCCACGCCCCCCGCCCCCCACACACACACACCACCACCACCACCACCACCACCGTGGGATAGGAGAGAAAGACCATAAGGCATGTAGACCCCATCCTTAAGAGTTCAGCTCACAGTGCTGCAGCTTACCCTGCCGGCTTCCCCACACCCCTACACCCCTCAATGGCATTGCCCCCAGGAACCTCTGCTTCTTCTCCACAGCAACAAAGGAGAGAGAAGGAGCTGCGGAAGCAGCAGGAACGGGAGCAGCGCCGGCACTATGAGGAGCAGATGCGCCGTGAAGAAGAGAGGAGGCGCGCGGAGCATGAGCAGGTGCGGCTGGGACTGGGAGCCGTCCACTGAGCCCCGCGCTGTCTCTGGGGTGTGGGTCACCTTCTCCTAGGACTGCTCAGTTTAAGTTGGTGTTTATTCTTTCTCAAGAAACTATTTTCACCTATTCAAGAAGTCAAATGCACAACCTTGGGAATACCCCTTTACTCAATCCTGCTTCCTACCCAAGTCAGAATCTCCACCTTGATCTCCTGATGCGCCCACCCCGCCCCCATGTCTACCTCATAGGTATCAATGAGAGAATCCTACTCTCTCATTGCTTCAGAGGCGCTTTCTACTCATACAGCCTTTGGTGGCTGTGACTTTGAGTCACTGACGCGGGCCCTCTCTCTCCTTGTTAGAATCACATTCCCCACAGTTCAATGAATCTCTGCAGGTTGGTTCCATGACACAGAAAGCTCATGATAGCATGCAGCAATTATTTCAACCCTGCTGCTTGCATAGGGAACTTCCAACTTTATAGCATTGGTAATTCCAGGTAGCCCATAAAGAGGCCACCTGGAACGAAAAGCATTAGAATGTAGCTGGGTTTATTAAAACCAAATAGTCATGGTGAAGCCCTGAGCATGTTGGTCTGTCACAGAGAGCAGGCTTGTGCTTTTGACTGCATTGAAATGCTTTGGCTTTGGTGCAGCATACTTTTCCTATTTGGTGAGGAGGTGTCTGGGTATTTTTTCCCCCTCCTTCCTTCTATGCTTCACAGCTTGTCACCTTTGAAATTACCGGTTCTTTTTCTCTTTCTTTCTTTCTTTGTGTTCCTCTGAATTCTCTGCTGCCTACTTCTCCAGGAGTACATCAGGCGACAGTTAGAGGAGGAGCAGAGACAGTTAGAGATCTTGCAGCAACAGCTACTGCATGAACAAGCTCTACTTCTGGTAATGGGAAAGCCAAGAGCCAGCTTACCTGCTCGGTGTTCATTGTGTGTGTCTGGGTGTGTGTGTGTGTGCGTGTTGTCCCCAAGCGTCTCCCTCACATATCAGTCCAGAAGAAAGGATTGTCTGAGCCTCGAGCCCTTAAAGGAAAAATGTCCTAGAATCTGAATACATCTCTTAACCCAGTGTGCCCGACACTTCCTACATTTAATATGCCCATTATGCATTCTTTATTAACTTCATCTGTTTGTGAAACTTTAACATGAATCCAGCCTTATTATAGTTCAGATTTTTTTTTTTGAGACCCACTGTGTTTATTGCAGAGTAATTTCTAAGGCCATTTGCAACATGCTGGAATACAATTGTGGCAAAATGCAACTCTTCCATAAGAACCCACTCAGCTCTGCAGTCATATTTCATTTGCAGACTATTAGTTTCCCCTTTTTGTTGGGACCTTTTTTTTTTTTTTGTTCCCCCGGTTTCCCTTTGAGTTTTTTTTTTTTATTATTGCACAGCTCGCTAAAGGGCTTCTTGTGTAGACTTTTTTAACTGTTTATTCAGCGACACTCTGATCTATTTTAGCCCATATGCAAGCTCGCTAATGGTTTTGTTGGCCCAAGTTTTGTTGAACAATAGATGAAAGAGACAGCATGTTAAGCGACTTAGTTTGTACTTCACTCTACGAGTTTGATTGAAGGATCCACTACTAACTCAAGACATGGTCCCTCCATACAGGAATTGTCTACCAACCATGCAGATGTCTTCATTATTGCCACTTTCTTGGTTGCAACTCCTCAGGGAAAAGTCACCTTGCAGTGGGTGGTATTTGGGGGGAAATGCCATTGAAGCCACTATGTTTGTATTAAATGCCACATTATAGGCTTGAGAGAGCATCTACACAGAACAAGCCTGTGACTTGTCCCTGTGGCACATCCTGTCAACCCACAGTGGTTCAATAAGATGAAGTCCTCTGTTACCATCACCTCTGCCTCTGTTGCATGCCTCACTGATACAGAATGATTTCCCTATGGTAATTTGGCCCTTTTTTGCTCCCCTTTCCTGGTATTGGACAGGAATATAAGCGCAAACAATTGGAAGAACAAAGACAAGCAGAAAGACTGCAAAGACAGTTAAAGCAAGAGAGAGACTACTTGGTTTCTCTTCAACATCAGCGACAGGAGCAGAGACCTGTGGAAAAGAAGCCACTGTACCATTACAAAGAAGGGATGAGCCCCAGTGAGAAACCAGCCTGGGCCAAGGAGGTAAGTGAGTAAGTGTATCCAGGCTGTTGTCTGTGGGTTCCTGCAGCAAAAGTGGAGAGAGCTATTGCCTAGGTTGGGAAACCACTCATTGTGTGTTGTACATGCTTTGCTTTTGGAAGAACTGTGAATTTCTTGCTATAGAGAAATGCCAAATTACCTTACTCTGTGAATTTTGTGTGTATCCAAATAGACAGAATGGATTTTTGTAAACCTCAACAGGAAGCAGAAAACTCCTTTTCCCGATAGTGGTATAATTGAATTTGTGGAATGAAAAGTTATTGACTTTTCCTTGAAGGAATATGATCAAGAGCCTAAGAAATTCTAGGAAACATGATCTCCAACCACACCTGACCCATTTTTGCTCATTAGCATTGTCAGTGACATTTCTGGATCTTTTGTGGTAAAAGCTGATGCCCAGTTGACCTCAGACTTGTGATCATGGTGTTCACTTACAGGGTCAGATATCACTTGTATTTCTTTTGCAAATACTTCCAAAGCAATGGACTTTCATTTACTCAGCAACTAAACTAAGCTGTCACTGTGTCACTAAACTAGGGAGTCATTGTGTGAGCTCATGAGGGACCATCCTGCTTTCAGTTGTCCTTGGGATCACCATTATTGTCTTGTGAGCATAACTAATCATTTAAAGGATTTTTGTATGTTGTGTTTTATTCTAGTATCATATATTTATATTTATATTTATATTATTTATATTTCTAGTATCTATATCATATATTTATTGCTAGATCTTACTTAAGTTATTTAGACTACACTATTACCAGAACAAGATCTCTTACATAAGATCCTACTTTTATAAAAATAACAATCTTTTTTTCTATTCTGTTGTACAATTGTATCGAAAATGCTTGAAATGATGTTGTACTAATGTTAATGATATTGATGGGAGGTAAAAACTGCAGTTTTCACTTTCTATTTTTTGTACTTATTAATATTGCTTAAATCTTTGATAATGGTCATGTACTATGTTTACAAAAATCATAACTTTTTAAAAATCATAAAACTAAATCTGCAAAAAACATTTGATTTGATGGAAAGAATGTCCTTCGATCACTTTTCTAAGAGACAGTATATATGATTTATGTTTATTTACCTATGTCTGTAACACCTGCTTCTTTCTCTCAAATCAGTAATTTAATTTTGTGATTCCCCCTCCCAGGTACAGCAGTGACCCCTTAATAACCCACCTGTTCTTCCAGCTAAGCAGAATCACTATGCTGTGCAACAGCAGCTGACATGTTTCCTGGTTGGCAGAGATGTGCCACCTTCCTCCACTGCTAAACCATTTTCTAGCCATGCCAAGTTCAAACCCTCAGCTGAGCCAGACTCACAGTTCCTGATTGTGGCAGGTGTTCAAAAAGCTAAAAAACTAGCTTCTACTAAGTTAATGCCAGTAACGCCTGCAGAAATAAATGATTCCAGATCAAGACTCTCGTTTGAACATCACTCGTGGAAGACAGAAGGAACAGCTTGTTCCACTAGGTGTGAGCTTGAGAAACAACTGCAGCCCCAGAAAGCCTCAAGGGTCACAGCGAGGTCTCCAAAGCAATCTCACTCCCAAGGATGTAGCCCAGCTCGAGCGTTAGGGTCCAAGGTCATTTGTGTGTCTTCTCCAAACATCTCCAAAGTGACAAGTCCCCATTTGTCCATTACAAGCAGGGGTGTAGAGACTCATGTGATCTTCAGAGTAGAGGGGATATGAATTCATGTGTCAGTAGGAGTACCTCGAATCCTCTAAGTGCTGCGTCACTCAGTGACCTCACCTTGATGCCTGGCCACCTGGCCTTCAGTGTTCCCAGCCCCAAGCATAAGGTTAGAAGAGGAACACCTACAGATCCCATTGGAGAAGATTGTGATTCCTTGCAAAACACTCCAGAACGCCTCCTTTCTTCTCTGGAGCACCCTCGTGCTATAATGACCCAGCAAAAAGGAGAAAATGTGGAGCAGTGCCCACTTCCTTTCTTCAGCGTCTATGCTGCACATTGTCATTTGAATTTATCCACTTTGACTTCACTGTTTTCTAGTTACTGTATATCCTCATCACTAAATTCCTTGGCCTATCCTCTCTGCTTAGAACTAGTTGACCGCTCCAGAGCTTTCAGAAGTCCTGGCATCCCTGGGGGAGAATCTTTGCAGCTGTCATTAAGACAGCTTTCTGGACCCCCTAGTTCTCCTGTGCTTCCTGGCCAGGCTCCTAGCAGTAAAAGAAACAGAGCAGCTGAGCAGGCCACCATCATGGCCATGTCACCAAGCATTCCCGATGTGAGACTCCCAGCCCATCTTAAGTCTGGGCCACCTCTGGTGGGTGACATCTCCCAAGGTCTCTGACTTCCTAGCAGCTGGTGCTCTTTCTTTGGGTTTTATACACTTCTAGATGTTTCTGGTAACATTCCTTTGGGATTTCCTATTCAGTCCTTTCCTCCTGGGTGTGGTTAACATAATCCAACTTATAACTAACCATCCACCTATTCATGAAATAGTTCCCAAATCAGAGTGGGTGTTCATATTTTAGGGAAAAAAAAAAGAAAAAACATGAAACAGTTAGATGATAACATGAGTGATTGTGCTAAATTTGGTATTGGAGCAACTGATGTACACATAAGTATGTATCGTTGTCTATCTTAGTTCGATTCATCCCTTTTTATCACTCACTTAAAATGGGCAGAAAAATGAATGTGAGAACCGTATCTCCTGATCTTTTAATGCTGCTCATTAGCAATGTACAGACTTTTCTAGAGCATTATTTACCGATTTCTTTTCTTCCAATAAGTAGGGAAATAGTTGGGACTCAAAGTAACTAAACAGTAGCACACACTTGAAGACTTCAGATTTGGACAGAATTTCAGATGTGGACAGTTATCTTAATTATCAGCTGATAAGAGGAAACTGGGTTAAATTATCCTTGGGAGGTAGAATAAATGGTACCATTTTCTTTTATAAGTGTGTCCTCTGGCAGGATACACACCTGACAGTACCCGAACCACGGGAAGTAGGTAGCTGTGTCCACGCTATATTATCCTGTGATTGGGGGGGGAGGCGCGGGAACTGGGATTTTTTGGCCCCGTGTGCCATAGAAGATACCATTAAGATGTCATAGATGCCAGTCCTCTTTTACTGAGAGTAAAAGTTTCCTCTTTTACCATCAGTAAAAACTACTGATGGGTAGTTTCTTCTATAACCTGCTCACTGTTTGTTTTCTGAATCACCTCTATACCTTTCTTCTTAGCAAGTTGGTTTTCCTTCTTTGATTGCTTCCCCTCTTAACTTCCTTATTCCAAATAGACTTTTTCTTTTTTCATTAACAAAGAAACATTGTAATCATGCTTCATCCTCTGTTTTCCTTGCTTCAAGTTGTGAGATATGAGTCATCACATTTCTCATTGTCCTTCTCAAGTTGTTGAAGGAATAAGAACAAATGAAAATGCTCATTCACTGGCAAATCTTTTTTAACTCTTTTTTTACTCTTTTTTCTCTTTTTACTGAGTATTCTATGTGTACTCATTGCCACACTGATGCACATTTTAAGATTCCAGGCAAAAAGGAACATTGATGTGTATTATGAAATTCTCTGTCATTTCTGCATTGGGATCGAAGTCACATTCATTCTATGGAAATGTCAGTGTATTCCTTTAAACATCAGTAACATTTGAAAGTCTTTTTCTCTCTGTCACTTTTTGAGTGATGGAGCTACTTTTTCTTTGGATTGCTTTTATTCTTAATGGGACAGATTCCTTTTCTGTACAATGACATGTGATTGTCAGGGCCTGGCAGTAATAGTGTGTGCCCTCCCCTGCCCCTCACATTTTTTTTATTTGCAGCAACACACCGCAGTAACAGAATGCTCTGTCTACATGACTTTTGCATAAGATTATATTTTAATTTTTTTAACACCCTCATGTTGTTTCTTTGATACATGCCAGTCATCTAACCATGGTTATTTTTGGCAAATAATAAGCCAAGATGTGTCTTTATATCCCATCAGCTCCTTGGACTTTGAAATCTCTGCTTTAAAGATCTCCTCTACTTGGTTTGCTCTGCTCTACAATGACATGGGTTTTTTTCTTTTTATATGAGTTTCTTTATATGTGTTTCTGAAATTACCATATAAGTGGTTTATAGCTTTGTTCCCATCTTTCCTTAGTCTTAGGCTTCAGCTTAGGAGAGACCTTGGTGGCATTAGTTTGAGTTCCAGCTTTTCCACATCCTGCCTGTGTGGCCCCAGGACAAGTCTTGGAGGTCCCCAAGGCCTGGCTTCCCCATCCACACGTCAGGCAGTGGTAGCCATGCATGTGAATATAACATGCAAGCAGAAGGCACTGTGCAACCATGATCTGTGGTTCTCAGCACATTCCCAAGGCCCAGCATTCCCAAAGCAATGGCTGCCCTCGGGGAATAAGTCTTGTACCTCTGATGTTTCTGGTGTGCAGTCCACAGGAGCTATTCCCATCACTCTCACCTTCCCCACCCCCTCTCCCCAGGGAAGTGGCACATCTTCAGTTCCCATCTCAGTTTGCAGGTTTACCTCATTGTATTTAAGTCATGTGTTCCATCTACATAGTGTTCTAAACTTTTCTGTCATCACTGGTTAGAGGAAATCTTAGAAAAGTAGTCCAGGCCTTCTCTCCAGTGAGAACTTCTTGTATGTATTCTATACAAATGGAAGTGCACCCTCACCAGGGGTGCATCAGGGAAGGCCCAAACCCCACCGCTGCACTCATCTAGACTTGCCAACAGAGGCTGTGACTCAAGACCTTGTGACCAGTGACCACAGAGTCAGGACATCTAAGAAACAATTAAAAGTTATTTGTTGGCTTCATTCTCTTTCTCCAGCATTGCCAGTAAAGACAAAAAGTTAAAATGTTTTTGTTCAGTTGGAAAAGAAGAAATTCCCATATGACTATGTTCAGTTTACCACCTACTCGTTCTTGAGTAAGACTTCCTGAAACCTTCATGGGCCCCACAGAGCCTACATCACATAAAATCTTATTAAAATGCACCCAAACAACATCATAACTACATTACCATTGTCAGCATTTTAAAAATCACCTCTTTGGGCCCTCCCCGATTCTGTAGTTAGTTACAGCACAGCACCAAGAAGCGAAAGCCACTTCAGCTTGAGCTTGATCCCTGCCCCAGAGGTGATCTACATGGCGAGGCAGACCCCTCCTGACCAACCCACTGCTCCCCTCTGCAGTGTACTTCATCAGTTGACCTGTCCTGCTCCCCCACTGTCTCTGGTGAATCCTCTCACTACCTCTGCACCTCTGGCCTATAACCCAGTTCTGTATGCATACATAAATAGACCTTTTAAAAAAATCACCTCTATAATTTTTTGAAATTCTCAGCAAGTATTCATTACTGAAAAGTGAGAATTTGTCAGCTGTAATTTTTTCTCAAACCTACACTAAAATTTAACAATTGACATTAATGTTTATTTTTGTACAAGTTTAAACATGGTTTATTTTGATTTTTTTAAAAGTTTTTTCATGTCAACAAATTTATTTTCAGGTCTTTTACATTTGTAGAGTCTTGATACATCTCAGACATCTTAGACATCACCCCCTGTGTTACATAGCCCTACCTAGACCAGAATTTTAGTTCTGATACCTTGGTCATTTATTTCCTGTCCCTGTAATGCTATAATAAAGAATATGGTATCTCTGCAAACCTCTCCAAAGTTATTTTAGTTTTGATGTTTAAACTATTTTTGTAATAATTAAAACTGCTTTTACAGTAAAATTGATGGAACTCTGATATTATTCTTTATAGTCATTGATAATCCCTTCAACTCTGAAATCCTTTATGACAGATAACTGTAACTCAGCTGTTACAGTCTGGCACCTTGACACTGTGCATCTAATGCTACTAAAACACTCTTCTTACTGACACTTCTGGTATTTACATTTTGACAGGAGAAGGTTGGAGCAGAAGTTCAGCAAATAGTTTTGTTTTGTTTTGGTATTGTGCAAGACAGAATGAAACATTTTGATTATATCCCCCCTTATCCTGAGGGATATAAGAAACACTCACTTTTTCCACTCTTGTATATACACATAAAACTAATCAAGTCATTAACTGCCTGTGAAAGTCTGCACCTCACTTTGTTTCTTGTCATTTTCAATGACAGTCTTAGGACCCCTGTGGCTTCTGGTCCAGTTGGAGACAAGGATGATTCCTTTACTGGAGCGTCATAGTAGGCAGTTGCCAAAAGAATTTCTACTCTTAAATTGAAGTCCTTGGGAGCAGGAGAGTTGAGCATTGCTTTAATATATTGTTTCTAAATGTGTGCATAAACTGTCTGAGGATGTTTTACAGTTAAAATAATAATGGCATGTTCTTCACTCTCTGAACATGTTTGGCTCCCGAATGATGGAAGCAAGGGACCCCAGTTTATTTGGCTAAGTGTTTATCTGAAAATGTTTGATCCCTGCATATCTTGAGTTCTGGAATGCAGGCAACTGTGTTTTAGGTGATGGGAATTCAGGTGTAGGAATTCTTATACATGTGATGTTCTATTAATGGTCTTTCCTGGAAATTAGAAATGACTAATACGTGACTAATTCCAATGGTCTATTAATAGTCCCTTTCTTTTCAGGAGCTAGAATTTGGAAAAGAAAGAAATACATTGCATGTCTTAGTCTCCATTTATTGCTGTCTTTGTGGGACTTTTCTTTATGGCTCTGTTCTTCTCTTTTGGTGAATACAATATCCAAATAATTGTTGCTGATATAATACTTTGTACACACATGTACACAAAGTATACATGTTCTGGTATACACTCCTGGGTTTTCTGCTGCTCTTATTTGGTATGTGGTGACCTTCTAGGACATGGAATTTCAAAACCAAACTCAACTGGATGTCAAGTGTATGTACCCTGTACAGCCATAGTGGGTGAAGAGATATTCAAATTACCTCTTTGTAGTAGCAGGAGGGCAGTTTTTCTATGTGGTAGTCTGTCATAAAGTGTTTACACTTAACATGAGAGTTTGAAAAACAGACTTCTGTATATGAGATTCAATTTGCCTTCAGAAGGATTCAAACTGGAGTAGAGAAGGTGAGCAGAAATAGCTCTTTGGAATTGTTTATTCAAAGAAAGCAGTAAAATTGCTTACATACAAATATGTCTCAGGGACTTACATGTGGGTTCAGGACAGGCTCTCTCTCACTACTCTCAGATGGTGAGTTAGCAGAAAAGAGTTTGGGCCCCAGCCCCGAGAAGGTCATCCAGGTGGGTGCATGATCCTGGTGGGTTTGGAAGCACAGCTGTCAAATTGGCCATAGTAATGAAGAATAGACTAGATAGGTGGATCTGAATGAAAAGTCCCTAGACTTCTTGAAGTTTCTGGAGATCTTACATCGTGTCTTGAAGTTACATCTCATTGATCTAAATAGCCCCTTCACCCGAGGTGACTTTGACCCTTAAGAAGGGATCCCCCAGCTTTATGAGGTCCCTGTGTCACTTCTGATCAGTGATCTGCTTTGGACTCAGAGGAATGCCATAAGAAAGGGAATGACAAGGAGAGAAGATGGCCAGCAAAGGAGAGAGAATTGGAGGGGAAGGGAGAAGGAGGAGAAAAAGGAATCAAGTGTGGAGAAGCAGAGAGGAAGAAGGGGAAAGGGAGGCAGGAGAGTCCAAGCTGGAAATGGAAAGAATGAGGAGGGGCAATGTATTTTTGGGAGCAGAAAGAGACAACTGAAAAGAAAGGACCCGCAGAGGGAAAAGAAAATGATACAGGAAGTCTATTTAAGACAGGCTATGCTCATTAAGGGAGCTGCCTAAAACACCCACTTGCCTATCAGTGGGGCTGGTGAAGAAATGGAGGGTTAGCATACCCAGCTTCATCTCATGTCAGCCCTCCCCATATTCTCCCCCACCCCATGAGTCAACTCAAAACCATTTTCTATTTTCTCCAAGCTGTCTTGGTGCCTACCAGCACTCCCTCTGTCTCCACATTGACCCCATGTCTTCATGTCCAGTCACCAAGATAACATTCGGCACGATACCAGATTAACTCATACGCAAGTTCCACATTCCCAGCTAATGAAAGTAGCACTGTTGGGTAATGGAAGAGTGATGATGTCATGTTCTGTGTTTCCTTGCTAGTGTTTATTCTGACTGAAAAGTTTTTTATACAAATTCTGGATGTGAAACAGTGAAGGGGAGTTTTGAGCCTTGCAAATGAATTTATCAGAAGACAAAAAAATGGCTGTGCAGGTGACTACAGAAAATCCTTATTGGCAACTAAAGCAGCTTCTGTCACTGAGCTCTGTTTGTCTCTTTCCTTCCAGGTAGAAGAACGATCGAGGCTCAACCGGCAGAGTTCACCTGCCATGCCCCACAAGGTTGCCAACAGAATCTCTGACCCCAACCTGCCTCCAAGGTCGGAGTCCTTCAGTATCAGTGGGGTTCAGCCTGCTCGGACACCCCCCATGCTCAGACCAGTTGATCCCCAGGTATATGCCCCCTTTATCCCATGGCATTTCAACAAGGAGTACACATAAATCTATAAAAGCCCAGGGGAATTGTAACATGGATTCAGGCATAGAATCAGTCAAACTAGAGCTCTTAATACGAGTCTATAATCATACAGAAGGCCCTGCTGTGTTTGAAAGGTAGGCGGAGGGGTGGGGAGAAAAGCCCACAGTCCCTAACTTAGAGCTACCCAAAGTCCCTTCCTAGTAAATGAGTCTTTGTGGAGACTGCAGGCATTTCTGGAGGTGAGAACAAACGTTCTCTCAGTTATAACAACCAAAAATTCACACAGACTTTTGTTACATATAAATCATTGTATTATCTTCGTTCCTTAGGATTTGAATTTGATCTTGAAAGCTTAAGAATTAAACAGACATGGTTTTAGTTAAGCCAGTGCTCCTCAAAGAATGGTACCTGGACCAGCAGCATTAGCAGCCCCAGCAATTGGGTAGAAATGCAGATTCTCAGGTTCCCTCAGACCTTCTGAAATGGGCTGGGGAGAGAGAATTTGGCCTTCGGTGACTTAACAAGCCCTCTGACTGATTCTGCTGTTACACTCAAGTTGACAGTCACCACTTTATGTTATTTGGAAAAGAAAAACAAATTAATTTTAGATAAACAGGAATTTTTAGAGGATTTTTAAAATAATAATATGGTATAAATGAAATCTGAAGTGGAATTTAATGATAATAAAACCACTTTCACATAAATTTGGCTTAAGTCTAGTCCAGCCATCCACCCATGTTCACACTCCCACAAAATATCTTGAGGTCACCTTTGAAATAGGTGATTTTATTGAACTGAAGCTTAGAAAGAGTAGTGATAAAATTACGGATTTTTGCCTGCCTTTAATAGATGAGGCCTTTTTCATCCCAGCCAATGTGCCATTTCTTGCCCTTGGTTGTTTTTATTTGTGTTTAATTCCTTCATGCCTGACCTCCCATAGAGCACGTCTTTGTAAGAACTTCTTAATGCAAAGATATCCTCTTCTAAAACCCTTTACTTTGACCTTTTAGAGTACTTTATTTTGCTGTGTAAAAAGGGACAGTAGAGGGACAATTTAGGGAATTTTATGACAATAACCAGAAAATGAAAATGTACATACCCCGTGAGAGCTAAATGGAGTAAACAGTCTTCAGGTCCCTCAGCTTTTGTTATTTTATGGCTCTTTCAAAGTAGGTTTGTCTTTTGTACGATATGTTTTAAAATTATACCTTGCTTTAATATATTATTTAGTTTATTCAGTTACAGTTCTGTTCTGGTTGAAGCATAACATTAGGCTGAACAAGACTGGGGCTATTTTTAACTGGTGTTAATACTTTTGCAGATTTCAGACCAAAGAGCGTCTGACTGAAGAGACCAGGCAGGGCTGCTCCAAGGAGAAGGCCTCAATGTCAGGCTGATGTAGAAAGCTGCATCAGTGCCTCCCAAAGTCTGAACACTGATTTTTAGACCAAAGAGTACCTGATGGGTCCCTTGCACAAAACTGGTACAAAATTAACAATTTAACCTAGAAAGCAGTCTACATGTTCCCCAGTCAAGACTTAGTAGCCATATTCCAGACACAGCACTAGACCCAGGGCTGTGGTGACAGCAGTGGCAGACATGGCTTCTGTTTCCAGGGAGTTGCTGTTGTGGGGGAGGACAAGACAGGCTGCGTGAGCTCTCACTGTGAAGGCTGCCTGGTACTTTGGTACAGAGTGTGCCTGAACCCTAGGATTAAAGACTTTGCTGAAAGAGCCATGTATCTACCAAAAGAGTCATATCTTTCCCCTAGGAGCTGTACCGCCACATGCCAAATCATGAGGCATAACTCAAAAAGAAACATTCTGGAATTAAGAGACCTCATAGACGCTAAGGGCCAGCATATGAGAAAACTGGCTAACTTAGCAGCTGGGCCTATGGCCTGGAGAGAGGGTATTGGTTTCCAGTCTGGGCTTCAGTAGGTACTAGCTGGGAAATCTCAGGTGTCATCTCATCTGACCATACCTTATATTCTCATGTTTAAAGTGAGGTAAATATTTGAACCACCTCATTGTGGACTTAAAAAATTCTTTAAGAGATATACACAGCAGTTTTTATCTTATAGAACAATAGTACTCTCTGAGGGATTTTAAAAGAGAAAGTTTTATAGTATCAGAAGAGATGAGTGTTTGGATATATTGTATAGCTGGTCAATGAATGTTCACTAAAATTTGTTAATATTATTTCCCTGGTAGTATGAACATACTGCTGGGGACCCTGGGTCACACCTAATATGACTCTTAGTGGAAAACTTTGAAGAACTTTTAAAAACAGGCCATATAACTGCAGATTACACATGGATTCTATTTACTGAATTCATGCCCTAAAACGAGTTTGCCTTCCACTCAGTGGAAATTTAATTTCCCTTCCACTCGCTGAACCACATTTTCTTCTAATGCTTCTACCCTGCTGTTGGTCTGATGCTTAGATCCCACATCTGGTAGCTGTGAAATCCCAAGGACCTGCCTTGACCGCCTCCCAGTCAGTGCACGAGCAGCCCAGCAAGGGCCTCTCCGGGTTCCAGGAGGCTCTGAATGTGAGTTCTCACCGCGTGGAGATGCCACGCCAGAACTCGGACCCCACCTCTGAGAACCCTCCTCTCCCCACTCGCATTGAGAAGTTTGACCGAAGCTCTTGGTTACGACAGGAAGAAGACATTCCACCAAAGGTATTGTTCCTAGGAGGGGAGGGGTTTGTCTTCCTGCCATTGTCATCATTGTTGATCATGAGCCCAGACCAGGCCTTTCATAGAATGACCAACAGGCCTTCCCTTTTCACATTTATTTTGACCCCTGTTGATTCAACCTAAAATTTGATTGTAGTTTATCATTTCTGGCCTCCATTTCCTCAGAGAAATCTGGACTCAGAAAGACTGAATGATTTGGAAGTATGTGTTCTATATGTAGATTTAAACTCTCAATTTCCTGCCACCCTAGTGGCACAAGGGATTAAGTCTCAGGACTATGAAGTTATCACCAGTCACTGCAGCATGAATTCCATCTCCGGCCAGGGAGCTGACCCACATGGCACAGCAGACCTCTCCTGTCTCACCCACTGCTCCCATCAGCAGTGTATTTCAGTGGATCTGCCTGTTCTGCTCCCTACTCTGTCTCTGGTGAATCTCACCCCCCACACACACACACCTCTGGCCTGTACCCCAGCTCTTATAGGCATAAATACATAAATAAATCTTTAAAAAAGAGAGAGAAAAGAATATGTTTTGGAACAATAAATGAATAAATAAAATGTGTAGCACACAAACCCATTTTAAAAGAGCTTCCACCTTCATGCCCACCCCCAAATGAATAAAAATTGAAGTACCTTTGGCAAAGATTTAACCCAATTAACTGCCATGGAATGTCTGGTTTTCATTTCTCAGTCACTTGAATAAAATAAATTTTCTGTCTGTTTTCCCCTCACTTTAGGTTCCCTCATTACACTTAACAATACTTAATTTAAATGAAAAATGTATCCTAAAATGTGGGATACTTGAATTCCACCTTAGACCTTTGCCAGATAAGCTAATGATAGATTTCATTTGCTTGATGATGATGAAACCCCTCACAGTCTTATTGGCGTTCACATAGAATTTTTGAAGACCTTCCAGTATTTTCAGTATTAATCCTGTTTTGTATTATACTTGCAAATTGACCTTCAAAGGACAGTGTTGGAGATTTAATTTTAATTAGCAACTGCAAGCTGATTAGGAAGTGGGAACACACAGATCTAATGCACTGGTGTCCCTGAGCTTACTGGCATGTGGCTTCTGTCCCACATTCTAACCTGATATCCTTGTTCCTTATCAGACTTCATAATGTCCTTATCATGTTATCAGTTATGTTGTGAGTTAAAAATGGGAGTTAGTTTATCTGTATAACTCTCATCTGATGCAATTGCCAATTATCAGATGAGTTAATGTTACCCTAAAGAAATTTCTGTATTCACCACTCTTGCAGAAAAGGAGGTCAGTTATTTTAGCCCAGTGACTCAAAATAATTAGCTAGATCTGTTTTAAAATTTACTTTTAAAATTGAAGACCATGTTCCTTAATGGCTGCTAAAGGTGCCTCATTGCCTTTTGTTTGGTTGTGTTGAGGGAACTAAATATCTCTTTGAGAAATGAAAAATTATTCTCCCTTATTTCTGATATTTTGGAAAGAAATAGACTGCTTTTCAGGCTGTAACCTAAAGAAGTTATTTTATGAAAATTATTTCTGCATTCTGGTTTTCTCTCAGGTGCCTCAAAGAACAACTTCTATATCCCCAGCGTTGGCCAGGAAGAATTCTCCTGGAAATGGCAGTGCCCTGGGGCCCAGACTAGGATCTCAACCCATCAGAGCAAGGTAAGGGAAAAGGGATGTTGAGGTGAAAGAAAAAGCCCTCAGGTGCATTGTCATTGTTCGTTTAGAAAACAGGTCTTTGTTCTTTTTCACTTCCGAGGGATATAGACTGGCCCTTTGTGTTTGATGGGACAGGAAAAATGAAGGAATGAGTGGGTGAAAATCAATCCATTTCCTGACAGCTTTAAAATTTGGGTAGTATAATTGGACACCCAACTCTGGTTTGAGTCAAGTGGGCCCTCTCTACCATGGGTTTCTGCAGCTGAGAATTTATCCAAGCATTGGACAAAACTACATACTACTGAGTTAGACCTACAGTGGTTCTATCTGTCCTGGAAATGCACAAGCATTGTTCTCGTCTTTATTCCCCAACAGTATTGACATAGCAACTATTTATATAAAGGAACAACCTGGGGTGGGGTGGGGAGAAATATGAATTAACTAGTATATCCTACCAGTTCTGCTGACTTGGACTCCAATAGCACTCTGAAAACCAATCGAGAGCCAAAACAACCAGCTGGACAACATCACACCGAGAGAGCCCTAAGCTCACATGTCTGGTTTTATCCCAACCTGGCCACTCAGCTCCACCTTCATGCCCCAGCATGCTTCTCATTGGTATTGATGGGATTTGTAGTTCTAGTATCTGGCGTGGGGGTGGAGTCCCTGTAACCTGTATCTGTTACATTAGGATTTATAAGGAGCAAGAGGTGATTCAAGGAATATAAAAGGATATGTAGAGATTATATGCAAATTTTGCTCCTTTATGTAAGGGACTTCAGCATCCTTACATTTCGTTCTCCTTTGGGGTTCTGGAACCAATCTCCAAGTCACTACTAAAGAGAACATGACATAAAGTCAGTATAACAAAATGGCCTGGGAACTGAGACACTGGAAATTGCCTGCGAAATATAATAGCGACCAGTTTGGCTAACCTGGTAAGGGCCAGCAAGACTTGCTCTTATGAGGGAAATGCCTCTTTGACCTTATGAAGAATCTGAAATATATTTAAGCTTCCACGTTGCTCTGTGCTCTCCTGGAGTTTTCCATGAACAACGTGGAGTCCTTCAGTCAGGAAGTTGCATCCACCGTATGGCTGGTGCAGAGGTCTCAGAAGATGGAAAGTAATCACTATCTTCCCAAGATGATTGTTTGTGATAACAGATGCTCTTTGCTGCCATCATTCAAGCTTTTCATAATGAATACACCCCTTCTTAGGGTTAACTGAAGTAGCAACTGGCCTCTGGACACTACAGAAAGGATGAGCTTGGGGAAGCTACCTTCTTCCTCTTTATTGTTCATAATAAGAGAAGGACTATGCCTCCGTAGTAAGCGAGAAAGAAACTGGGAATGAAGGTTATGGTTATTTGTACTTTAAAATATGGAATGCTTTTGATCATAAAGCTTTAATTTTCCTCTTCACATGAAAAGCCTTAGGAAAGGGTCAATTCTTAAGTAAGATAGAGCCATACTAAGAACATTAATCCCTTTAGGGCAAAGAAGCCAGGCCATTCTGTGTGGAATTTGCAACTGCAGGAAGCTCTGAATGAGACATTTTTCTCCACTGACTTGTCAGATTCATGACCTAGTGTTGCTAAGCGGCACCAAGGAAGACTGGCAGATTCTGTGACCAAGGAGCCAAAGGAAAACTGTATCCTGGATTTGCCAGAAGCAACAGTAGCAGTTCCCCCCTTCAAGCAGCAATAAGCCCCCAATTATCAATGCTTCTTACTCCTTTGATCCCTGCCCCTGAGGCTCTGTGCTTTGCATCAGTTGCCTAGAATTTTAGTTGTTATAGATCAAGCATCATTTCAACTATAAGTATTTTTCCTGCTGTTAACCAAAAGAAAAAGAAAGAAGGCTATTATTACATAATCAAATAAAAAGGCAGCTATTTCTTTCCCTCTGAAGTGTTATTTTAATGACATTAGAGACTGAGGCAGATGGCATTTGATGGTCAGTGCCTTGTAAAACATGAGCTTAGGAACCACATAAATATTGTACTTTGCTCAAAGATCGAAGACTTTGTGAAGCAGCTAACACTTTTTTGCTTAGTAAGGAAGTGAGCCAAGAGGTAATCATTATTTACCTACAATAAAAGTCACAGGCATTTTAGAGCAGGGAAAGATGGAGAAAACCCATCTCTACCATGTGGAGCCATCCTCCAAACACCCCAGTTTCTTCCTATCATGTGTCTCTAAGTGACTATTTAAGGGGTGAATCAGACTGCAGCTCCAGATTGGATTGCATTTTAAAAGCTTCTGGGATACTTTATTGGCTGTGAGAGAGAGGGCTTTAGTTCACTTTTGCTGTATAATAAGCCATCCCAAAACCTAGTCTCTTGAAATAACGATGATTTATTATTTCTCACCATTCTATGTGTCATTACACTGTTCTGCTGGTCTCGCCTAAACTCACTCATGCAACTGCACTTGCTAAAGGGGTTAGCTGCTCTCTCATGAGATCTTTCATCCTGGGCTTCTTCAGCTCCAGGCAAACCTAAGACAGCATCCCAAAGAGGGCAAGTCCATTACACGATGGACCCCATTTGCTGATGTCCATCCCACTGGCTACTATAAGCCACGCAGGCAAGCCCTGAGTTACGCGTAAAGGAAATAGACGAAGGCACACACACTGGGAGGAGAGAGGCAGGGGCCACTCACTATATACAGATACTCTCCCTCTCTCTGTTGGTCCCGGGGACGTCTTCATTATCCCCTGTGCACCGTGTGTCAGACCGCTGCCCATCCATAGTCATAAAATAGGTTCTTTTTTTAGGTAATTTTACTTTTACAATATTTCTCTGCCATGCTTCTTATAGTTGGTCAATATTACTTTTATTCCTCCCATCTGTTCTTTAAAACGATGTCCAAGGGAACACTAACAGAATTGGGAAAAAAACTGAGAAATAATTCCCATGTAAAAATGGACAGGTTTTGAATGTTTTGTTTTTTTGTTTTTGTTTTTTTCATTTTCTAAATTTAACAGATATATATCAAAGACCTGCTGTATGCAGGACCTAACAACTCTAGCCAGTCTGCCTGACTCTGGGGCGCATGGGTCAGAAGTCCTACTCTTGTGGGTGACAGATATCAGTGGCAAAATTCTCTTTCTTGACTTGCTTTCTTATTTTGCTTTGTATCCATTTGCAAATGGACTTTCCTAAAGAAGAGGGACACTCTCTCTCCTTCTGTAGCACTCTTAGGGACCATAAATTTAAGACAACAGTGTCTCATGTGGAAGGAACTTAGATCCTCAAGTCACTATTTGGAGAAGAGCCTCCAAGAAAAGCAGTTCTACCTGTGTGTATTGTGATGTGAACAGGAAATAAACCATAGGGCTAAGCCAGTGAAAGAAAAGAAAGGATGAGAAGGCAGAGCCTAATGCTCCAAACCTCATTTTTTGCTTCTTGAATTCACATACTGAGTGCAGAATTTTTCACAGTGTATTATCTGTTATATATTGGCTGTAGAATGTATAATAATATGGGGCGGTTTGGCACACAGTTTATTTAAATCAATTAACTAGTTGGTACTCTTAAGTGGAAGGTCTAAAGTTGAGTTAAAATGGGAGTATGCAAATAGTATATCTGAAATATGAGGAGAAAAAGCAGTCTTCCTGTTTTTAGCAGAACCTGAGAAAAAAATACCCATATAAAAATGGACAGGTTTACAATGTTTGTTATTATTTTTCATTTGTGAAGACCTGCTGTATGCAGGAGCTAACAGCTCCAGCCAGACTCTCTGAATGTGGGGCACATGGGTCAAAGTCTAGCAGAGAAGACTCGCAGTCAGGTCAGTAATCCCTTGCTGTCCGCACACACAACACCAAGTCAAGATATTCCATAAAGAACATCTTCTGAAACAGATAAGGCAGTGAGCAAATAAAGCCTTGCTGGTTTCATCTGGTCAAGAAAGTGTTCCTGAGGTGCCCCCGGGGATTGTGCTGTACTTGGTCTGAGGGTATTTATTTCTTTGTTAAGTGCACCCTTCTGGAACACCTACCTAAGTGAGGTGCAGTTTGATGTGAGTAGCTTTGTTAACTAGTTTGAAACATAGAATTCCATCAGTTAGGGACTATTCTCATCCCCTTTCATAGATGGGGAGTACAAGCTGGTAAATTGTCCAAGGACAAAGTTAGCATGTGATAGAGCCAACACGTGAAACCTGTAGCCTTTGCACACTAAGCATCACTCTGCTTATCTGTTTGGCTAGGTGCACCTGGCACTGCTGCCTTGTTTTCTCCATTGGTAGGGGACTTTGGTTCATGGCACCATTTCAACCCCCACCTTCCTCAGGGTGTAACTCTATGAGTCTGTTCACAGCTCCACATCTTGTGCTATCCACTGGTTTTTAAAAGTTGTCCCATGCGATCTTTTTATGCCATTGTTTCCCCTCTAAACCTGGAACTGGTTCCATCATGTGCTTTTGACAGTTCTTTTCTGAACATCCAAAGTCTAAGTGTTAACTCAGTCACAGTGACCCCGCACGTCCCTGCCCTTTCTTGCCACATCTGTGCAACTGGGCATTGCTCAGATCGCAGGATACATAGGCAGTTCTCATCTGCTCCAAGGACTCCAAGTGCCTTAGGTTGTCACGGGGGTCAGCTGAATTTAAGTAAAGATTTGTTCCTTTTTAAAAAATACTGTTTTAATAAATTCTAAACACTTTAATAGTTAACTTTGATTCATATGTTGTTTTAAAGCAAATTAAAATTTGATCAAACACATACATTCAGAATATGAAAAGATTTAAATTAAGCCAGAAATACCCAGTCAAAACCTGATGACTAAATGCTCAATTTCAAGAAATAATTCTCTGTCCCATCCCAAACTAGCTTTACAGCGCTTTTGTTCTTGTTGGTTGTGTCATCAAAGTACAAGGTATGTGAGTCCTGGCAGCCAGCCAGTTAATTATAGACTGGGCCCAAGTCTTTGGGCCAAAAAAAAAATCACTTTGTAATCCTAATTTTCTGTTTGGCTTTTTATATGAGATTCACATAAGTGAAATAATTGCCACATTTTCGCTTTACTGTGGCTTTACACACTAAACAGCACTGTCTACTTAGATGGCAAATATCTGAACTTAAAGTTGGCATTTAAAGAAAACTATATAAATGTTTTCAAGTATATGCACATTTAGATCTGAGTGAACCCAGTTAATTGTGAACAAGAGAAATCTGTTATTTAATGTAATTCTTCTGAAATGGATCTTCTCCCAAAGCATTTATTGCAGACCCTTTGTTCCGAGTCCAAGCCCATATTATTACATAATAAGGCAGAGAAAAATGTGAACAGTGTGTCATTTCTTAAAATACCCATATACAAAATGCACAAACAGTAAATAAAATGGAAAAAGTTTTTGTAGCATTTCCCACTTCTGTGTGTGGTTACATAGAAACTAAACACTTACTTCAGTCTTCAGCAGCAAAAATAGCAACCCTTTAAGATCAACACCTATACTGGTTTTCTTGAGTAAGGAAGATTGTGCCAGTGTGTCCCAGGTCACAGATTTACTGTCCATTAGATTCAATTAGCTTCATATAGAAAGGGGCCCTAAGCCCATCAGAGAGACATGCTCATCCTAGTTGGTTCTCTGAATGCCCATGGCATCTCTTATACCAGGACAGACGTGACCCAGGCCTTGTGCAATGTGGTAGCAGCCCCTGCCTGGTGAGCCTGTCCCTCTCCTGACCAATTACTCAGAAGCCCACCTTGGGAGAGTCATATTTTCTACAAGTTTTTTTTTTCTTAAGATTTATTTATTTATGCTTCCAGAACTAGGGTACAAGCTAGAGGTGTGATGGGTGAGAGAATTCATCAGAGACAGTGGGAAGCAAAACAGGCAAATCTACTGAAATACACTGCTGAGGGGAGCAGCAGGCAGGCAGGAAAGGTCTCCCATCCCATGTGGGTCAGCTCTGTGCCGGGAAATCGAACTCGTGCTGCAGTGGCTTTAGAGAGCTGTGTTTTACCTTTTTTAAAGATTTATTTATTTGTACATACAGAACTGGGGTACAGGCCAGAGGCTGAGGGGTGGCGAGAGGCTTCACCAGAGACAGTGGGGAGCAGAACAGGCAGATCGACGAAGTACAGAGCAGCGGGCGGGTCAGGAGAGGCTGAGAGGAGCAGCGGGCGGGTCAGGAGAGGCTGCCATGCCATGTGGATCTTCTCCAGGGAAGGTGGGAATCGAACTCATGCGGAAGTGGCTTTAGCTTCTCAGTGCTGTGCTTTAACTGCTGCGCCACCAGGGAGGGCCTCAATTGATATTTTTTAATCCAACTTTTGTACATTCTTTTCCACAAAATGTAAGCACTCCCAAGAAACCTTAGTATGTCCATCACACTTAATCTGCAGTACAGTTGGTCAGCAATATAATTTTAAGAAAAAGCATTGTTGCATTGTATTACTTATACATAAATAATTCTTGATTACTAAAAAGAAGACAATGAGGAAAATTCATTGTTTGGGAATTAAAGGAGTTGGGACTGTTGAAAAATTCAAAATATGAATTATTTCAAAAATATGATATATATATCAGTTTAGGCAATCTCTAAATCAAAAGAATTTCCAATGTGAATCCCAAGTTGATTTTAATCAATTAGATCCAATTATTTTTCACAAAAATGGTTAGAGTATAACAGAGTGTTGTAAAGACATCAAGTCGGTTCCTTCAGTTAACCAACGTTGCTTATTTAGCAACCCATGTATCGTAACATTTAAAGGGATAGATAGTATCATAAATTCTATGTTCTTATAGGATCATAATAAGTGAGGATGACAAATTTATTTACATATATGTGATATATGTAATGTATATATATATATGTGTGTGTGTATATATATATATAATGTTTTCCAGGGCCACCAGCCATGTTTTTCCAAACACAGGATTAAGAATTTTTGTAACTAGGCCAAATGTTTTTGACAAATATGTTACCACCAAGGAAGGTTCCTGTGTTTTCAAAAAGATACTTGATTTAGTTGTTGGTATAGTAGTGGACGCTTTCTGCTAAATAGACTGCAAGTGTCTTAAGGGAAGGGACTTCATTATGTCCATGTTTATTATGAGACATCAGATACCCAGAACTGTGCACACTGTACCCACTCTGTACCCCTGAAATGGACCACGCAAAATGAAAGCATAAAATTACATGCTAATATGATATCTTAACACATTAAAATCAGTACATTGGGGCCCTCCTTGGTGGTGCAACTGGTTAAAGCACAGCACTGTGAAGCTCTCTGCAGCCACTGCAGCAGGAGTTCAATCCCTGGCCAGGGAGTGACACACATGGTGTGGCAGACCTCTCCTGAATCACCCTCTGCTCCCCTCAGCAGTGTATTTCAGTAGATCTGCCTGTTCTGCTCCCCACTCTGTCTCTGGTGAATCCTCTCACCACCACCCTCAGTACCTCTGGCCTGTACCTCAGTTCTGTATGTATAAATAAAGAAATCTTTTTTAAAAATCAGTACATTGTAGCAACTTTAACAAAGTTAAAGCAAAGATAAGGAAATCCTGTTTCGGAAACTGATTTGGAAGCATGGAGGAACCACTCTTTGCTCCCTCAGTGACTGCAGGGCAGTGACTCAAGCTTTGAGTTTCAGATTTCACCAAAAGAAAAAAGGATTATGAGTTATACTTTTTTTTTTTAAAGATTTATTTATTTATTCATACAGAACTGGGGTACAGGCCAAAGGCTCAGGGGCGGTGAGAGGCTTCACCGTAGACAGAGTGGGGAGCAGAACAGGCAGATCGACGAAGTACACTGCTGAGGGGAGCAGCGGGCGGGTCAGGAGAGGTCTGGCTCGCCATGTGGTCTCCTCCGGGGCAGGCGGAAGTGGCTTCAGATTCTCAGTGCTGTGCTTTAACCCGCTGCGCCACCAGGGAGGGCCATATACTTTTTTTTTTTTTTTAAGATTTATTTGTGCATCCAGAACTGAGGTACAGGCCAGAGGTGCAGGGGCGGTGAGAGGATTCAACAAAGACAAAGTGGAGAGCAGAACAGGCCAACTGATGAAGTACACTACTGAGGGGAACAGTGGCGGGTCAGGAGAGGTCTGTGGTACCACATGGGTCTCCTCTGGGGCAGGGATTGAACTCATGCTGAAGTGGCTTTAGCTTCTTAGTGCTATGCTTTAACCCGCTGCGCCACCAGGGAGGGTGCAAATTTTAAAAGAAGAGCTTTGTAGAAACTTTGAGAATGCTCCTTATTTTATAAAACCATGAAAACCCCTGCAGTTACCTTCTACCACTAAGGCTTAGATGCCTTTTGTTATGGCACAGCAGGCTGCTACCTGAAAGTGGTCAGCTGACCCCTCCATGCTACGTGTTGCCCAAAATGTGTTGGAAATTCCTTGGGTGTTTCTATCTCAAATGCTTGAGCCAGTGACTGTTATAGACCTGAGTAAGTGAATAAATACCATTGTTGGGGGGGGGGCAGTAAAGTTATGATGACAAATAATACAGTGCACTTTTATAAACAGTGGGCTACTGGCAAACTGATTTGTTCTTGAGTAGCCTTTTATAATAATTATTTTCAAATGCACTTCCTTTTGATAGCCAAAGTATATAAAGACTTCTTGCAAAAAGTAAATTAAGTGTGGTTGCCACTAACTATATGAGAGAAGACTTTGATGAACTAATTCACAGAAGATAAATTATAAATGGCAAATAAGCCACGATAAAAATTATTCCACCTCAGTAGTGATTTGTTAAACCTTCACTAAAACAATAGCATAAAAATTTTCACAAAAGGACAAACTGCCCATAATGAAGCTTAGTAAGAATTCAATGAACTGGATCCCTTTATACACTTCAGTGAAAACTAGTAATATCTTTATACATTCCCATACACACATAGGCATACACACACACAGTTTATGCTGAGAATTCCAACTCCAGGAAACTGAGGTGTGATTACATGGCGGGGGGGGCAGTATTTTGTGTTATTTTGTATTGAAAGCACCACAGTATCCAACAACAGAGGACTGGTTAGACTAATATCTGTGTAGTAGACTCGTCTCAGCCATGCTCGTTTTCAGACGCATGAGAAACTGCTCACAATGCAATAAGAAGAGAGAAAAAGCAAGATGCAAAACTGAATATGAAGTATGCTTCCATATATGCAGAAGAGAAAAGACAAGATACCAAAGAGTAAAACAATTGAATCTCTAGCTCTAGAGAATGCATGTGTTGCGTCCTTATTTTTATCTTTTAATATACTTCAAGTTTTTTGCAATGAGCACAGGAAGAAATTTTTAAAAGAAAATTTCCTTTGAAGATTCAGCTTTTCAGAACTAATGCCTTTTGTGTGATAGCCCATGAATTCAGCCCTTCTAGTTTGGGTATCTGGCTCCCAGATTTCCACAGAGCCAAGGAAGGAGGTATGATTGGTATTTGTATTAACCCCTTCATGCAAGATCATGGATCGCTGTCTTTACTCAAGGACACTGGGGGTGGAGCTGGACTATGCCGGTGTCTGCCAACAGTTTGTTCTCAAGAGTGGAGTCACTGTGTCCTGCTGTCCTTGCAGCAACCCTGATCTCCGGAGAACTGAGCCCATCCTGGAGAGCCCCTTGCAGAGGACAAGCAGTGGCAGTTCCTCCAGCTCCAGCACTCCCAGCTCTCAGCCCAGCTCCCAGGGAGGTTCTCAGCCTGGATCACAAGCGGGGTCCAGTGAACGGACCAGAGTTCGAGGTACAGTTTTCCCCTCCCATTCCCTTGCAACATTCCCTGCAGAGGAGTCCCCTGGGTGGAGAATCAGGTCACTTCCTGCCATCTGTAACTGCTGCTCCTGGGGTGGGTACCAGGTAATGCTAGGGAGCCCCTTAACTGCCATCAACCCCTATCTCCTTAGTAGAATGGTTCTTCAGCATCAGGTACATGTATTATATCACAGTGTGGACTAAATTCTTTCTAATCACAGATACCAGGGTTTTCCAGGGACATCATGAGCTATTGTTCCTATTGAAAATACAACCACCATCCACCTAGATTTCCATATCATTTGATTGCTTGATGAGTTTCATGTACCCCCATTACCTCACCCCCTTGTGCCAATAGTTACTTCTCATATTCTGAACATAGGTCCTGTCACCATGCATTCTTCAAATTAGAATTTAATACAGACTAATATGGAATACATATACACTGGAGGACAAAAAATGTATTTGACTTGCAGGCCGATCATGAATCTGAGGCATCTGGGTGGAGGAGAGATCAAAATAGGGTGGGGAACAGGGGACGGTGGTGACCACTGATCACGGATGCTGTGATGGTGGGAGAACTAAGGAACTACACCTGAGAGGAAAAATCAAATACTGTCCAAAAATTAACAAAGGTGTAAGGTGATTAAGAAATATGTTTGATGCTTCTGATTATTCCTAGTAGGGAGGTAAAAATCTGTGACTCTGTCCTTCTAATTCCAGTCATTGATCATTGTTTAGTTTTCATTAGTTGAGGAAACTTGTGAAAACCATTAATATGTCCATCTAATTATACTTAACAACTCATTATTCCTGGCTAGTCAGAATTTACTAGTTCTGACAAACTTCTTCAAAAGATAATGGTGCTTCCAAGTGGCAAAGACCAAGACCTTTTAAAGAGTAATTTGATAAATATTAGCACACTTACAAATTATCTGTCCTAACAAAATCACCAAGCTTTAATTATTAACCTCTTCATTAGATAAAACCATATTTTGTCTCTTAATTTCCTTTAAAATTTTTAAATCTATAAAGTCACTGTCCATCTTGATTCAGAGCTTGGCAACTGATGTGCACTGCTGGCCAAGCTCTGAATCAAGATGTCGGAGTCGGAGTGGCGACTGGTCTGTCCCCCTGTATTCACTCTTCTGACATCATTGGCACAGTCCACATCTATGTATGCTTTTGTTGCCTTGACCCAATGCATAAAATTTCTGAATTTAGAAAACTGCCATTCCCTTAACTTTTTTTCTCTTCATAAGCAACTCCTTACAGTGAATACTAAAGAAAACCAAACTTAGGAGTGTCATTTTACTTTGCTGATGTGGTTCAATTAATAATTCTTACTGTTGTCCCCAATTTTCTTGGTTAAAAGCACCGTATGCCCTGGTATGTGCTTTAAAGCCCTCTTTAAGACAAAATTGAATCTTTTCCACCCTAAGTGGCTTCTCACCTCTAAACTCAAATTTGGAGTGATGTGCCTCCTTTTACCCTTGCTCAGAATCTTTAAAGAGACTCTTCTTTATTATTCTTTTCCAGCTGCCACTTCACTCTCTTTCCTTAAAGGGCCCAAACAACATGTCCACTCCACTTAAAGGTCATCCCACAAAGTAAAATAAGTTTCCTTTTTTCCCCAAAAAAAAATTCCATCAAAATTATTTATCATAATGGGTAAGTAGTAAAAGAAAATATCAAACATAGAATTATAAGTTAGTTTAGCATAATCAAAACTAGGACTTGAAAAATCACACCAAATCCAAGCGTGGTCTGTAATTTCAGCACAACCTTAGGCCAGTTGTACTATCCACATCTGTGTTCAATTGCAAGACAGGAAAATAGTGCCGCATCATTGAGCTAGAATGAGAACACAACGAGACGTTGACAAAAAAGCCATTGGCTCTACTAGTACCCAGTTAATTTATGCCCTGTTGATGATGGTGGTGGTGCTTGCTGGTTTTTCTTATTTTGAACTGGTGACTTTCAGACTCCTGGCCTGATTTTGTTTGGCTGAACAATCACTACCTTTTCTCAGATTTGTGAAGTATTTGTCTAAGTGGGTGATGTCTCCTCCGAGTCACCTATATGACTCACCACAGAACTCCAGAATTTGAGCCAACACAGTTATTGTTATTTCTCAGCCTTCTGTTTTTCCCCTCTAGCCAACAGTAAGTCAGAAGGATCACCTGTGCTTCCCCATGAGCCTTCCAAGGTGAAACCAGAAGAATCCAGGGATATTACCCGGCCCAGTCGACCAGCTGTGAGTGTTTTTCTCTCAAAGTGGTTTGAATGAGTACTTTCCCAGAGAACATACAGGATAAGGTAGTTGAGGATATAAACTCATAATAGTGAATGAAAATTATTGAGATTAATAAAAACAAGATGCTGGTGGCATCCAGAAGGAAGTCATACCTTAGGAGAGAACTGACAGGATTGCCTCTCTGTCCTTAGGTGTTTTTTTTTTTTTTGCTGAGTGTTCACACTTTAGAGAACAAAACAAGAAAAGAAATAGTTCATATCATTCCTTAAGTTCTACTCAGCAGCTTTGGCAAAAAGATGTTGAAACTTTTTGGACTAGAGACAACATAGGCACTTTCCATGGGTTTTGCTTTTCAGTTTTGCCATTTAGCCATTATTATTTTTCATGTGCATTAATGTTACAACTTTTCTGTTATTTTCATGACTCTAGAACTAAGTTTCCTGGACTAAAATGTGATAAGCATGGAACCTAACCATTTTACCATCTTGATATAACAAGTGCCAAATAGCCTTAAAGAAAGAAATAAGAGCAACTGGGGGCTGAATATTGAAGCTTGGGGATTAATTTGGGATGAATTGCTACCTGCATGCTTTATTTAAATTTGTAGAGACTTTTCTATAAAATGATTGTGAAATCTTTTTGGTTTGTGTTATTTACCTTTTACCAAAGTATTTCTATATATTACATGTAATAATGAAGGGATTTGCATGATGGGGTTGAAGTTCTCTTGTGTACTAACAATTCTCATTTTGTGTCTTACCTGCTGCCTTCCTTCTGGCTTTCACCCTTCCGTGGATTCTTCTGGATTGGGCTCTTCTTATTGCAGAGCTATAAGAAAGCTATAGATGAGGTTAGTATTACCTTTTCATAGTCGTGCTTTCACAAGATGTAAATATAAAACTGATATTCTGATGTTGACCTTCAGAAAGGGGGCCAATTGGATCATAGATTTAAATTTGCCCAGAGTGACTTGCTTGGGAGGAGAGCTCCTTCAACAAAAGCCAACCAGACCCTCAGATATCTGTGTAAAGCTTCTGAGCTCTTCCTTCTAAGCCAGAACATCACAGCTCTAGTGTTCCAGTCTGGCACAAGAGAAACATGAGTGCTTTTTACTGGAACAATTTCTTGTTCCGGTATCTTTCCACAGAAAAGCTTCAGCTCTTCTCCTGTACTTGCCAGCTTGCTGGGGGAATGATGCTCAGTGGCTTTTACTAACAAAGAAAAGAGACATCTAGGACACTCCAGATTTATAGTGTGTGATTTGTGAACAAGGAGTTACTGGATATTGTTAGATTAATTTTGTGGAACATTAACTACAGCATCAGCAGCAACATCAACTTTAGTTAATGAATCCTAGCGAGTTAAGTGACTTTACTTCCTTATCTGTGGAGACATTTTTCCATTAGAAAAATATATGGCTTTGTCAATCGTAGGTATCTTGCTAAGAAGGATGACTGCCTTACTGCTGTTTGTCAGGCCTGCATGAATTCAGCCTAGTGGAGGTTTTTTAAAGAGCCAGGCCTTCAAATAGTCCTAATTGCATGGAACTTGAAGATGACCATGATGGCTTTAAGGCTGTAGCTCTGCTGAGCACCATTTTTGTAAAATGATATGGAAAAAGCACTGGCTTTCAGTTGAACAGGCTGCATTCAAATTCTGGATCCCTCAGTCAATAATGACTGGGACCTGGCTTGTAATTTCTCTGGGTCAGAATTTCCTTATCTGTACAATGGGAATAAAAATCTGCTCATCATTGTTGGGGATCACTCATGATCATGGGTGCAGAGCATTTCATGAAGTATGGAATGCTGCATAAAGCTGAGAGGTGGTCCTCATTGTTAAGGGTTAGATGCCAGGAAGATATAGGACAATTTTGGTGGGAAAGCATATTTCTATGCAACTGATTTTATCAAAAAGCCTCAATTTTTCAGAATGTGACTGCCTCACTTTCAGCTTGATTTGAGAAGTTGTTGTCGTAGTGAAGGGGTTATTGCTTACAAAAGAATAAAACTTTATAAGTTTACAGTGTGTGGATGGCATTTATAGAAAGGAAAAAAGGGGAATGTTTCAACTGTTCTGTGCCTCAACCTTGCTCTTTTCCCTCATAATAGTGTAGAAAGGGATTATCATAGTTTTTTACCAATTCTCTCCCAGATAGTTGAGAAGGGGAATGATGCTTGGGTGTTATGGCTGCCAGTAAAAGGGCTGCATAGGGGAACAGTTCAGGGAAGAAATCTCATTAACTCAGAAGCTCACTGTCATGACGGACATGTATTTCATCCGGGTAATCTTGGTTGGGCATTTATGGTTTTAATAAATAGCTTAATTAATTTTGGTATACTGCAGCACATTGGACAAGAATGAGAGGGTGAGATAGAAGTGTAATTCTAAGCAATTGAGAGATGTGAACTGAAAACCAAACTCTATGGTCATGTGTTTTTGGAAAATGCCTTCTATGGAATTCTGAAAACCCACCCCTTGAGTACCACTGATCTAAATCAATAATAATACATGATTACTTGTTTCTGCTTAAACCAGTGTTTCTAACTGGGACAATTCCTTTGTCCCCTCCTTTTAGGAACATTTGACAAAGGCTCAAGACACTTTGGTTGCCACAACTTGAGCTGGGAAGCAGTGCTATTGGCATCTTATAGGGAGAGCAGAGTTGCTGCTACTCAACCCAATATAAAGTATTATTATCTGGACTCAAATGATGATAATGCCACAGTTGAAACACTTTGAATTAAGCCTTTTTCCCATCTCCATCCCTGTTTTGATATGGCTTCCTTCTCTAGTGGCTGTTTTACCATTTCCTTAGCATGAGATGAAAAGTCTTAACACTTTTGAAAGCATGATACTGACTAGTGTAATGGGGCAATCCCCTTTTCCTTCTCACTTCTTGACTGGCAAATAATAAAATTAATATAAAAAAATAACTTAATTGCATACATTCAGGGAATATATATAGGGATGAGTCAAAAGAGAGTTAGTCAAAATCAGGATATTTGCCATTCTCTAGGAAGTAGCATTTGGAACTTCACAGAGAAGGCAGGCAGTGTATAGAAAGACGAAGAAGAGCACACGCTTAGGAAACAAATGTTTTCTGAGCCATGCAGACAACATTGGGACATTTAATAAATTCAGAGGAAATTTAATAAATTCAGCTAAGTTTCTTCCTGTCTACTGAACCTAGTTTTTACTGTGTTGTCGTTATCTAGGATGATAGCTCTTTTCCTGGAAAAAAATCTTCTCTCTAAATTCTTTAGAGAGGAGAGCAAAGGTCATGAACTCTTTTTCTGGATATTTGAGGCCTTGATTATTTCTGCTCAAAATAATCTGCATGCCAAAGCAGAATATCTAGAGGTACCCAGCATATCTATCAGGTAGGGAAAAAAATCAATCTGAATAAGTTTCTCTCAATGCAGTATGTTTTTCTAACAGAATATGAGACTGTACAGAGTATCTGTGATTATTTAATACAACCTTAGGAAAAAATGTTCTTTTGATTGTAGCAGAATTGAATCTATAGCAGGAAGACTAGCTATATGTAACAAACACTGACTTACCACTAGTTTTTCATCAGTTGGTAGGAATCATAAAAGTCGTAGAGCCACATCTATAAAGTGGACAGATTTTGAGCAATACTAGTAGTCCAAATCCCTTTTATTTTAAAAGATTTATTTATTTAAGCATATATAACTGGGGGTACAGGCCAGAAGTGTGGAGGGTGAAAGGAGTCACCAGAGACAGAGTAGGGAGCAGAACACGCAGATCAACTGAAATGCATTGCTGAGGGGAGTAGTGGGTGGGCCAGAGAGGTCTGCCACGCTATGTGGATCACCTCCCTGGCCGGGGATCGAACTTGTGCTTCAGTGACTGTGGACAGACTCTTAGTACTGTGCTTTAACCCATTGCGCCACCAGGGAGGGCTGCAAAATCCCTTTTACCTCAGGTGAGGTTACTGAAATTCAATGAGTTTCCCAATGTTCTATCTTTAGGTTCCTAAAAAAAAAGAGAAAAATATTTTAATATGTAAAAACCAGCTTAAAATTTTAATAATTCAAAAACTTGAACTAAAATTTGAGTAAACTGTTCTGTGTCTAAAAAGAGATCTAAAAGAAGACCTACTTCTGTGAGGTATTCATAAACTTTTTAAATGAAAAATTATACCTAATTGATTCTGAAAAGTGTTACACCAAAGAAACCTTCAGGTAAGAGCCTCTGAAACTATTTTAACATTTACTCCTTACCATTTTACCATATATATACATACATATATATATATATATATGTATGTATATATATATTAGCTATACCTTTTCAATTATTTTCACATTAAATTGCACTATTTACTCTTTTTTGAATTTTTTTTTAACTCCAGGCTTGAGACAGCCAGCCAACAGATTACCATAAAAAATTTTTTATGAGGGAAATATGTGGTTTTATCAGAAAATTAAATGTATGAAAATGGATCTGAGCCCAGTGGTATCAATTTAGATCATGTCTATTTTCTATAACTTTGCTATTGTGAATTTTTCCAGAGTGTAAGAATAAGGAGCAAAAACCTTCCTCTAAACACAGACTATTGGCAATGGAAGATTAATTTTCTTTGACTGGGGATATTACTTCTGCGTTGCTCATTATTAATACCTTGGGATTTTCATGTATGACTCATCCTCCATACTGTTACCAATTAATCATAAAAACAATTTGTAATTATTTCGAATGTTTCAAGAAAGATCTTTTGAATAATGCAGAAACAAAAAATTCTAATTAAAAGTGAAATTATAAAGCAGGTCAGAACTTTAAATTGTTCATAAATACCATGTTTAGGAAAAAATAGCAGGTCATTTTAACAAATTAGAGTTTTTTTAAGTCTGTCGGCTTTGGACCAGCTAAATATTTCTAAATAGCTTTGATTTTTTTTTTTAATTTCCTTCATCTTATTTTGAAATGTCAGCGATAAGCAGACAAACCATGGGGAAATGTACTATTAATCTAAATAAATCATAGCTAATATTATATTATTCAGAATTATTGATATTAGAATAACCTATTTTAAACCATATTCTCTCTTTAAATTACATTGACTTTTTAATAAGTAAACTTTTAAATTTAGTTTTGTTCTTTGATGAGATTTAACATCCTAATATACACAGGACAAGATACAAAATAAATTAATCGACTTTGTTATTTTACTGATTTGTAAGATTATAATGTGCTTTTCCGTTCATAGCCTTAAGTACCTAGACTCTTTTTTCCAGTGTGCTCAAGTGTAGCATCCCTGTCACTTTCTTCTAAATTTAATTAAGCTAAATATTGGTAGTTGTGGCAAGGAAATAAAAAGGCAAAACTAAAATCTGGGTATTAGCTTTTCTGTTTTGACCCATTGCCAAAAAACCAAGTTAATTTGCCTAGCATTCTATCTAGTTGGTAATTTTTCTCTTCTTTAATGGCATACTTCAGATTTTAACACCATTGAGTCTTTTAAATACAATTCTATTTCATTTTCATGGATGGGGCAGAAATACACTGAGATGGAGGCCACACATGTTCATGTGCACATGTGTAAACGAAGCATGTTTGTGTGGAAAATGCACAATTTGAATTTTTAGAAACTTCCTTTTTCCAAGGGCTTCAATTCAAATGATTTCAACACAAAAATCTAAAGTCATGATTGCTTTTGCTTTGAATTCCATGAAGTTAGAAAGAAATGATGATTTCAGTTAGCAGCATGAATTTCCTCACTTCCTAGATGAATTAAAGCACCAGAAGCATTTCCTCTAGTCTTAACCACGGTGTAGTAAATTAACATGATGATTTGTTTTCTTCTCAAAAGAAAATTATAATTTAATCACACACAGTTATCAATTTTCCTTCTAACAAATTAGGCAAGATTATCAAATGAATCATTTAGGTCACCTAGATTGCTCCAAATTCTGCAGCAGCTGAATTGGACAAATACATTTCTGGATTGAAATAAAGAGAGAATATGGCCACAAGAAACTGTGGGATTTAGTATTTTTCAATAAGTTTCTTTCTCCCTAATCCCCTGTCTCTCACTGAATGCTCTGATTCCCACATGGGTCACTAATATAGGGCGAAATGGTAAGACTGATGTCCAATTGCTTTTTCCTCATTTGCATGCTGCGTGCCATAGGCAGTTTAACCCATGCAAATTAGAGCAGCCACGCTTTTGCAGAACTGCTTCCCTCTGCATTGCTCTGAAAGCATGTACAATAAAAGATAGCCAGACACCAGCACACTGCCTGCAATATGCCTGGTGATTAATACCACATCATCACATCCATAAGGCTGAAGGTTTCATCATACTCATGGAAAACTGAGAAATGATCTCTTCCTCTTGGTGTTTGCATATTCATTTCTGTATTATTCACCAGGGTTTCTGCCAGATGACTGCAATTTAAAGCTAAAAAAAAAAAAAAAAAAAAAAAGTAAAGAAGCACCTATCATTCTGGAAGAGAACTCTTTTTTTCTTTCTATTTATCTTGTTGTTGTTCCTCTTGATTAACTCAGCTCTGTGGCTCTGTATTTCAGTGGCACTAGGATTTGGGGCGGGCCATTTTTTGATGTGGTGCCTCTGCTCTCCAGGGGATGATGACACACCAAATGAGTCATTGTAGTGTCTGGAACCTTGGGAATTGCTCTGTTCGGTAACTGATGCTAGATTTTGGTACAGTAGCAATCGTAAGGGGGAAAGGCCATGACTGTGGGTTGGGCAGGAATCCCAAAATACGGGGAAACAATTGCTAATCCCATGCATTTTCCCATTAACCCTGAGGGTGACCAACCTCACCTTCCCAAAGAACAATGAGAAGCCATGTCTGCATATATGTGTACACACAGTGTGCATGCACATATATGCACATGTATATTCGGAACTGAACAGTCTCAGTCTAGCAATTGGTTTTTGAACAAAGTTTAAATTTATTTCATCTTTCTTTTCTACAAACATCGTTTTCTTAGCTCCATGCAGTAACTATGTTTGTAACAGTTCTATATTGAGCTTTTTCTATTGTTGCTTAAGCTGGAGCACTGACTTGCTGAGAGATGTAGCTTCAGTCATCTCTACGGTTTATCCAGGCTGAACAAACTTTTCTTTTGTAGGATCTGACGGCATTGGCCAAAGAATTAAGAGAACTCCGGATTGAAGAAACAAACCGCCCGCTAAAGAAGGTGACTGATTACTCCTCTTCCAGTGAGGAATCAGAAAGTAGTGATGAAGAGGAGGAAGATGGAGAGAGCGAGACCCAAGATGGCACAGTGGCTGTCAGTGACATACCCAGGCTGATGTAAGGGGACTGCTTTTTATTTATTTATTATTATTATTATTTTTTTTTTGCATAGAAGAACTGGAGTGTAGGCAAGCGGTGCGCGGGATGAGAGGGTTCACCAGAGACTGAGCGGGGTGTAGAGCAGCTGGATCTACTGAAATACACTGCTGCGGGGAGCAGCTGGTGAGACAAGAGAGACAAAAGAGGTCTCCTGCACCATGTGGGTCAGCTCCTTGGCCCAGGATTGAACTCAGGCCTCAGGGGTGATAATGCTGAGGCTTAAACCCTAGGTCACCAGGGGGACCCCTGAGGACTGCTTTTTAAATGTAGGCCAGGAGGGGCTAGTCTCCAAAACAGGAGGACAAGAAAGGTCAAGTAAAGATAATATCATCTGTGGCTCTCTAATTGGGTCAGTTGAGTTCTTAACTAAATCATAGTTTTATAATCACCTCTCTCCATGGTCACCCATAATATAGAGCATGTCTAGGAGTGCATTTGTTTTATCTAAGTACTGTTGCTAGGTGCCTGTCCCTGCGCTGACAGTCTTGGCATCCTGGGGAACACAATATTGACAGCCAGACGGTTGGCATGTGCCTTTCCCCTAGAAATGAGTGAAATTATGTGCAATGACATTTAGAGATTAAAATTAGCAACATGAGCTATATATTTCATCACCACCACTGTTGCCAAATAAGGAGAGATGTATGCAGCAGTGTTGGTTAGTATCCCATCAAAAGAGTCAGGAGTCAAACTTGTGGGTTTTGGCCTACCTTTGTCCCTGCTATCATTTTTCTACTTCATTTTCTTCACTGTCACTTGATCCTTTTTCCTGTGACTTTGTCCCGTACATTCTATTAGTCTTTTTGTGATCTTACTCTTGGATAATTGTAGCTGTATGTATACTTACCAATACTTCTAGCCTTTACCTGATTTGTTTTTATTTTTTCAATGATTATTTATTTATGCATAGAAGAACTGGAATACAGGTAAAAAAGGTGCAGGGGGTGAGAGGATTCACCAAATACAGGGTGGGGGAGCAGAACAGGCAGATCTAAGAAGTACACTGCTGAGGGGAACAGCAGGCAGGTCAAGAGAGGTCTGCCACCCTGTGTGAGTCAGCATCCTTGCCAGGGATAAAACTTGTGATGCAGTGGCTGTGGATAGCTTAATAGTGCTGTGTTTTACCTGTTGTGCCACCAGGGAGGGCCACTTGATTTATTTTAAAGGGAGGTTCACTTTCCCTTTTTCTCAGCAGACTGGATTCTATGAAAGAATCTCTCATCTTACCCCATGGCTTCCCCAATACAAATAAACATTCATTTACTAACACTCACATGCATCCCTCATTTGCTCCTCAGACACCAGGTGTTGCTTTGGTTTGCTATTCCCTTGATAGAGTGTGATGCTAAGTTTTACATTTTCACTCCTCATTCACCTCCATTTCTTTGGCTCAGCCACTAATTTTGAATATCACACCACACTCACTCCCTATAGAGATGCCTTTTCAGGCCAGAGATTACAATCTTGTTCAGCAGAGGTTGCAGAGAAAGGGCCAGTAAATCTGCAGAAAATGTAGATTATTAACGATGATTAAATATAAGAAATTCTGATGAGCAAATCCAATGCCATAGCTGAAAATCCATACTTGTTATTTTAGTGTTGATTACCCAGTTGCTGGCAACCATAAGTATGCTAAAATATGACATTTTGAAACAAATTGCATTAAATTGCTTTTTAACAGCAATAAAATTGTTCTAGAGGCAAAATCACTAATCCAGAACATTTCTGCAAAACATGCTTTTCCTTGCCATTTTTTGTCTTGACTCAGCATTGGTTACTTCTTCCAACAGATGTTTTGAATTCCTGTTAAGTACTGAGCATACAACATTTAGGATGATAGTAGAGTACGAATTTAAAAGACTAGTTAAACTCTCACCAGGTGTAAGATACCATAATGAAGGCTTGAGATATTCAGATAGCGCATACTGAGACCACCTTCCAAAAGCTTCTTTACTAGTTGGACAAGCAAAATTATACATGGAAAGCTTCAAAGTAATATAAATATTACTCTTAAGCATTCCAGAGGAAAAAAAGAAACCAAAAGAGTGCTTTGGGGTGATGTTAAGTCTCATTGGATGGTTAAGCTTCCCAGCACATTTTGCAAGACATTAAGTGGGGTTTACCCACCTGCCAGCAACTTTGTGCCCTCTCTCCCACTACAGAGACAGCCACGGTTCTAAAATTTCCTGACTACACTGTGCCATGCCTCCTCTCTGTTCCCTAGCACTCTTCTGTCCCTTTAAATATCCCCTACACAGATAGAGCTTGGATGTAACTCTTCCCCTCCTGTGAGCTGCCACAGTCTTTCATGTGAACTCCTGCTGGTCCAGGCTGTATCTTGAATCAGGATGGTTTATTACCTACTGCCTCCTTCTCTGGACTGTGAGCTCCTGAGGATAAAGCCTGTATCTCATTTGTCTCTCTACTCTTAATACCTTGCATGGTGTCTAGAATAAAATTGGTCTTCAGTTACTTTGATTTGCATTTAATTGCTTTGAACTGAAATTATAACTCATTGGCTTCAAAGAATTTATAGCCTTATCCAGAGGAAAAAAATGCATACACAAATACCTGTCATCGGAAGGAGCATGGGGTAATATTAGAATCCCAGTCAGAGGGAGTAGAAATAAAGGTTGAGTGTGGTTGGAAATTAGGGCACATGGGAGAAAAAACCAACTAGTGAAATCAGACCAAAAAGTAGGTACTTTCTCTTTTAGCCTCTGGGGAGTCATCATAGGTCTCCTGAGCTAAGGAGTGACGTGCTTTGTTGGAGACAAATATTTTCAGCAAGGTGATTTAGAAAGAGAACAGAGACTAATAAAGACAAGAGATAAAGTAATTCAGTTGATCAGTTACTTTGGTCCAACTGCGAATGATAAATGACTAACATTGATTGCTCTGTGGGGAGACAAAATTTGACATGTCCTTTAAAGAAATGGCACATTTTAGACAAATTGAAATGTACATTCATTAAAGAGCTTTTCAGATATTCAATTACCAATGAGCTATATGAAGAGAAAAAGCAAGATACAAGTGTGTGTGTGTGCTCCAATTTGGTAAGGATATATATTCTTTTTTAATATCAAATATATAGTCCGTTCTGCTATGGCTTGATAGTTGTATTGCCTAAGTAACTTCACATTGTTAAAAAAAAAATCCATTATAAAACAATTGGTTCTTCAGGAATAGGGTGTTTTGGAGATAAAATGTTTCCTATATATAGTTTTGTCACTTTTATTTTCTAATGTTAAAAAGCCTTTCCTTTTTATGCTATGCATTTTTAGAGCAAAAAAGAAAAGTGTATCGCGACACAGTTCACTACCCTGAAATGTATACAAAAGAGCTCAGAAATGGAGAACAGCCATTCAGACAAACAACTGTAGACCCAGATGTGTAAACCAACTTTTCCCATCTACCGGGCTGGTTTCATATTTATAGCATAGTAAAATCTATAAGATAAGCATGTCCTTAACTGAGCTTGTATTCCCTAACTAACCAATTGCACTATTTCCAGTGCCTCACACATAGAAAAATAATGAATGAAAAGAAATGGAGCAAAATTATAAAAGTGACTACCTCTGCATTCTACAACTCTGGGGGTTTCATTTTATGTATGATGAGCATGTACTATTTTTATAATTGGGGGAAATGAAAGCTTTATAGAAGAGGAGGAAGAGATGGGAAAAGCTCTGTGCTTCATTTGCTTCATATCATGCATACCAGAAGTCATCATTTGTTTTACTATCCTTCAGTATCAGAACAGCACGTGTAAGATGGCGTCTTGATCTTCAGGACTGCCTACAGCGGGCATAGACCCTAGATGTTTTACATTCCCACAGCATGCAGTTTGCACAATGACACCCTCCTTTCCACTCCCACTGGATGGTCATTGCCCAACCAGGGCAGGCTCCCTGCCTGCCGTCCTCTGCCTTGTCCAGGCCCTGCCTGATTGACATGCTGTGTTTCTTGCGCTCTACAACCATTTTCATCCTTGTACCAGTGGCTGCCGCAACTGCTCCAGCCAAGACCTCCCCAGACTGCAAATGCCTTGGTGCTTGTCTTGGGATGACCTTGCTCTCTGTCTCACATTCTCATTTACATCCTGCCTCTTACTCAGTATTTGTGTTGCTTTTTTCTTTCCCCCCAAAGATTGATTTATTTGTGCATACAGAACTACAGGCCAGAGGTGCAGGGGTGGGGAGAGGATTCACCAGAGACAGAGTGGGGAGCAGAACAGGCAGATCGACTAAGTACACTACTGAGGGGAGCAGCAGGCCAGTCAGGAGAGGTCTGTCTTGCCATGTGGATCACCTCCCAGGCAGGGATGAAACTCATGCGAAACTGTATTTAGCTTCTTAGTGCTGTGCTTTTACCTGCTGCGCCATGAGGGAGGGCCTGTGTTATGTTTGTAAGCTCTTCCAGTTGCTAACCTTTTTCAGGAGCCGTGTCTTCTTTTGCTTTTACATCCACTATCCAGTGCCAAACCCAGGGCCTTTCATATAGCAGGTGTTCAATAAATGTGTATTAAATTGAATTAAATCAATACCTCCAGGAACACTTTGACAAATCCAATTAGAGATAATTACTGTTCTAAATCTGTGGCCTAATTAGAGTAAATTTCTGTAGTTTTCCTTTTAATTTGTTGACACGTTTTGCTTTTTAGAGTCTTTATTGGCATTTGGACAATTTTTCTTACCTAGACACTCGATTAGAAAAGTAATTTTTATAACAAAGGTTTTATTTGACTTTGTAATGTTATCATTGATGTTTTAGCCTTAGTGTTTTTTTTTTTTAAGATTTCTTTATTTATGCATACAGAACTGGGGTACAGGACAGAGGTACAGGGGTGGTGAGAGGCATCACCAGAGACAGAGTGGGGAGCAGAACTGGAAGATCAACCAAATACACGGCTGAGGGGAGCAGTGGGTGAGACAGGAGGGGTCTGCCGCGCCATGTGG